GGAGTGTGATGTATAAGGTAGCACTGGTGTGACACTTAAGTAATTGGTGTGATCAACATAAAACAAAATTTGTGTAAATTTATTAAGATAAAATTAGTAATATTGAGTTTAGTTTAAAAATAGATGAAACAAGGATAGGTTTGTATAAAATAATTAGTAATTTTGATTAGTAATAGAGATCTACAGGTCTGGGACATCCTAGAGGGTCAGGATCCCCTAAAAAAGAAGAAAAAATTTTTTTCAAATTTTTTTAAAAAAATTGTAAGAGAGTTTCAATATATTTTTTAATAAAACTATCAGTTTTTGACTATATTAAGAGTGTAATATATTAAAATAAAGATAAAATTGTGCTAAATCTTTTTGTTTTAAGTAGCTACTGTGTTTTACTTAGTAAAATAATGAGTATTTAGCAATAATAGAATTTATTTAATTTAGTTATATCCCAGTGATAAACACTTTTAAAGATATAAACATAGGCTGACTATATGTAAAATTTTATGAAAAACAATTTTACTTAGATAGCCAAGATAGGTTTACTTAATAATAATTTGAGGAAAGAGCAGTTTTATTTAGAAAGGATTTGGTACAAGTGATCGTCAGAAAGAGTTGAGCAAAATTTTTTTAAATAGTACTAAAATAAAAAATTTAATTAGTTAATTTATATAAACCTATTAGTTAATTTTATTTTATAATTTTATATTCTAATCTTCAAATTTTATGTCTCAATAAGTTTTTAATCTATTTTAATAATTTTATTATCATTAGAATTAGAAAAATCTACTTTATAATTTTTATTTAATAATTAAACTTAGTTTATTTAATATACTTTTATGAAATTAAATATAAAAAAAATTGCTATTAGGTTTATATAATTTTAAAATATTGCCTCCTATTTTTAAATATGTAATATTTTTTTAGTTATACTATTGCTTAAGTTAGTATTATTTTGAATATAGATAAATTGAATAAAAAGAAACTTTTAACTTTGTAATTAAGTTTCTGATATGTAGTAAGTAGTATAAATTTGAAATTGTAGTAAAAGTGTAGTAGTTAATGAGTTTGTATCTAAAATATAAAAAATATTATAGTAATTGTCTGTTTATTATTAGAAAATAGATTAATAATTTTGAAAAAAGGTTTTGATATCTATTAGATAATGTTAAAGTTTTGTGAAATAGTTGTCTATTAATTTGGCATAAAGATTTTTCTTAGTATATTGATAGTAACTTTTATGTATAACTTTTATATAATTAAAAATATTAATAATAAGATATTTTGAATATGTTTTAGAATTTATTAGGATCTAATAATAGTAGTATAACTTATTGTTAAAATGTATTGTTAATTATAGTTCTAATTGTTTTGAATCTTTGTTTTGGATTTGTAAGAAAATTTTTGCAAAATAAATAGTCTTATAAAATATAAAAAAAATATAGATAATAAAGTTAATATTAGAAAGATATTATAATATTAATATAAGCATTTGCTTAAATATAAAGTTAATAGTTTTATAAGTATTTGTATTTGTAATTATAATTTGATTAGTTTATTTATATATTACTAAAACATTATTATATAAATTAATATATTCTTTTTAAAATATTAAAATAGTATTTGAGTTTTGTAAAAATAATAAAGAATCTTGTATCAAGATATTTAAATTTAAGAAAGATTGCAAATAAGATTATAAATTCAATTAGTACAATAATTAGCTTGTAATCAATAAAATTACAGATTTCAGTTAGTATTTGAAATACCTTAGTAATTTTATCATAAGATCAAGTTTGTTAGTCAAATAAAATATTAATTAGGTCTGTAATTTTAGTATATATTCTGCCTGCATATTCTAAGTTATTAATATTGTTAAACCTAGATATATTAAGTTGTTTTTAAATAATTTGATTATAAATTAATTTGATAGTATTAGAGTTGTCTAATATTGTAATTATGAAAATTGATAATAGTTGTTTTTTGCTTTAGTGTTAATTAAATGTGAATTGGATTTTGAATAGTTTGGTTGATAATCTAACAATTTTAGTAGATGTATATTATAAAACAAAAAAGTGTTTGTTTCTTTTAGTATTAGTATTTTGTGCTATCTGAGTAGTATTATATAATGTAACAAATGATGACTAAATTATATACTATTTTCAAGAGGTTGGTAGTTTTTTTTAAGAACTATATATAATCTTTATATAATTAAAATATTTTATAATACTCTGTTATATATAATATTAATACTTATAATTAAATCTTTTTCAAATATTTTTATTTTCAAATTTGTACTGGTATTTGAACTTTTTTATAGAATAGTATGTTTGATTTTTGTCTTTTATAAATTACAAAAACAGTATTTTTTTTTATATTGCAAAATTTCAAGTAGTTTATAAAATACAAATATTTGTTAACTCTGTTTATTTGTAATTGTATAATATAAATAACTAATTATTTTCTAATTAGATTTTATTAATATTCTAATAAACATTTTTAATAATTTATTTGTCTTTTCTAATTTATTTCTTTTTTGATAATGTTAACTTTCTAAGATATTACTTTTCTAACAATATCTGTTTTCTAACAAGATTTTTATCAAATAAAATTCTAACAAAATTAATCAGAACTAACTCTAATCCTAACCTAATATGAACTAATTTTGCAGGAAAGTAATAATAGAAATTGTTAAAAAAGTAATACTGTTAGGAAATAGATATTTTTGAAAATTAATATGTTAGAAAATTAATTGTTGAGGAAATAATAAGTCGGAAAAAGGTTTATTGAAAAATTAATAAAAACTGATTAGGTTTTATATATTATAATCTTGTAATAACTTATATATGCCACCTATACTAAAGAAGATTCATATATTAAGTCTATCTGTTAATACGGAAATGTTGTATATACCTTCACACCCAGTCTCTCATTAAATTCGCGTTAATATAGCTGATAGTATAAGGAAGCTGACGAATATGAAGTAATCATAGCCCCCGGGAACTCTTCTTAAAGTTAATTATTTATACCCTAAAGGTAATAATTGAGCTTAATCAATTTGGCTTAGTCATGTTGACTAAGCTCAATTAGCCAATATTAAGTGACTAACGCTATCTTTAGGAGGACTAATAAGAGTTCCCTGATTACCACATATTTGTTGGTGTTCTAGTGATCTTTATTGATTAATAATTTAAGTTCGTGAACACTATCAATATAAATCCTATTTATTTATTGTTATTTTTATTTGTTGATATAGATTTTAATCGGATGTACTAAAATGGGTTATTCAAGTTTGGGAATATATACATTTACAAAAAGCTGCTCATTTATTTGTTTTTTTTTTCAGATTTATTATTATTTAATGTATTCGTCTGATTTATTTTATTCGAATTAATTAGTTGATTTAATATAAACTATTAACATTTGTGTAATGATTTGACTCATCTAAAAAATCTCTACCTGGGTCACCCGACATATCATCTGGGTAAAACCAGGTCAACTAGAAAGTCTCCCCCACACAGGTCACCCGATGGATAAACTATATATCACCGTATAAGATTGGATGAATCAACTCAAAAAAAAAACAAACCAAGAATCACTATTTCTTAAATTTACGACAATCTTGCTCGCCTTTTACGCTCGCTGGCTATCTACCATTCAGAAACTCCCGATAGTAGACGTATACAAGTCTATGGGTCACCCGAAGGCTGATTAATGGGTGACTCACGGGTTGACTCATCCAGGTGGCAAGGGGAAATCTACGGACAGTGCTTAGGATCAGTGCAAAATCACGTGTTTAAGTTGTGATTGGTTATTTAGCGGTTAGAGAAGAGGATTTCATATTATATCATGTGATTGCACTGTCCCTAAGCACTGTCCGTAGATTCCGCGGGGTGGTGACCCGGGTGACATTCACCCGGGTCAAATCACTACATTTGTGTATTAGATGCAAAAACTTAAGCTTCACTACGTCGAAGTTAACCCTTCAAGAACTGTATTGAAACATATGTACATATGCCATTAATTATGTAATATATTATTACGTTAGGGTTAGCTTTAGCGTAGTGAAAATTTAATATTTACGAGTTTTCACTCTCTAACATTTATTTATCTTTACACGATGGTGCACTTTGTTCGCATCATTTTAGTAAATTCAAAAGTTTTTTTTGTGGTTCAATGCACTTTTGTTCATCACATTAGGTATACAATAAAAAATCTGGGTTGCGTATCATTAAAATTTTAGAATAGGTCACCGTTAATATTTAAAAAAAAAAAAAAAAAAAAAAAAAAAAAAAATTAGAATAGGCTGAGCAACCCGTTTTTTTCATAATCTTTGTTTTTATTTATTAATTAATAAACTTTGTAATATTTACTTTATAGTATATTTATTTTTATTTATTAATTAATAAACTTTGTAATATTTATTTATTTATTTATTAATAAATTTTTTTACTTTATTGTATATTTATTTATTTATTAATAACTTTTTATTTCATTGTAACATTTATTTATTTTTTCTGATTACCAACGTCCAATTTTAGCATATTGATATAGAACCTGTCTGATTGCTTTTGAAAGTATGCATACTACTAGATAATTCAATAATAATTGTTCAGTTCAATTAATACAGCAGGGCCGCTTTTACATAGCTGGGAATCTATTGAAGAAGTACGATAAAATTGGTTCACTAAAAAAAAAAAAAAAAAAAAAAAAAAAAAAAATTCACCGTCTTGCTCATGTAACGGCGATCCAAATTGCGACACTTACTAATATTATGTCACAAATTGGTTGACTTCACCCATAAGTAATAAGAATTCAAACCGCCTACCATAAATGAAAGAGTGTATATGCTTATTTTTGTTTTAGCTAATCAGATATTTCTAGCCCGCGGGCCACCGAACTGGTGATTTGACCCATCTAAAACAAACTCTACCTGGGTCACCCAACAGATGGGCCACATGCCATCTGAGTAAAACCAGGTCAACTAGAAAGTCTCCCCCACCGGTCACTCGATGGATAAACTATATATCACCCGTATAAAATTGGATAAATCAACTCAAAAAAAAATTCCCGATAATAGACGTATACAAGTACATGGATCACCCGAAGGCTGATTAACGGGTGACTCACAGGTTGACTCATCCGGGTGGCAATATCTCAAATCACTACACCGAACCCCCAGCCCGATTATACGCTACTTGAAAATGGCTTTGAAAATATGGTATTATATAAACGTATGCACTTTATTTGTTACTGAACATCTTTTCGTTTCTTTTTTTTTTTTTTTAAAAAAAAAAAAAGTATATTGTTAAAAGAAGACCTTTTTTATTTTAAAAAAATGCATCCAGCAAAAGTCTTTGCAATTTTGATTTTAATCGTCCAATTGACGATTATTACTCCTTCCTGGGCGTTTGAAAAACGATGTATTAAATTATAATTAAAATAATGATATTTTTCTTGAAAATGAAGCAGTAGATTAAGTTCTGTTATTTTTAGTTTGGCCTCGTCATCCTATTAGTGAAGTTAGAAAAAGAGGTATTGAATTAGTAATCGTATTTAATTATTAAATAATATTAAATTAAAAATTAATAAACTTCTAATTATGCAAATTAATTTATCAGAACGTGAGTGATAAATTAATTTATGGAGATAACTTTATATATAGTTTCGGTTTGTCATAAGAATTAAATAATGCATTAATTAAACAATTCCAACTATTTAATCGTTCAGCGTGAGTATAATGTTTAATTTTGTTCACTTAACGTTTGTGTTTAAGGGAATGAATGATTAACCGTAATCATTTAATCATTCAATAAATTAGCGTAGTGAGTATAAAGTTTGATTCTGTTCACTTTAAATGCTTGTGTTCAAAAGAATGTATAATTAACCATAATCATTTAATTATTCAATAAATTACCAGAGTGAGTATGAAGTTTGATTCTGTTCACTTTAACTTTTGTGTATCAAAATATTATATGATTAACAATACTCATTTAATCGTTTAAAAATTACCAGAGTGAGTATGAAGTTTGATTCTGTTCATTTTAACGTTTGTGTTCAAGAGAATGCCTGATTAACCGTAATTATTTAATTGTTCAATAATTACTAGAGTGAGTATGAAGTTTAATTTTGTTCACTTTAACGTTTGTGTTTCAAGAAAATGTGTGATTAACCATAACCATTTAATCGTTTAATAAATTACCAGGGTAAATATGAAGTTTGATTCTATTTACTTCGACGTTTATATTTCAATAGAATGTATGATTAACCATAATCATTTTAATCGTTCAATAAATTACCAGCGTGAGTATTAAGTTTGATTCTGTTTACTTTAACATTTATATTTCAGGAGACTATATAATTGACCATAATAATTTAATCGTTCAATAAATTACTAGAGTGAGTAGGAAGTTTGATTTTATTCGCTTTAACATTTATGCTTCAAGAGAATGTATTATTAACTTTAATCATTTAATTATTCAATAAATTACCAGAGTGAGTATGAAGTTTGTATTTCAAAAGATTGTATTATTGACTGTAATAATTTAATCATTCAATAAATCACCAGTGTGAGTATGATGTTTGATTCCGTTCACTTTAATGTTTGTGTTTCAAGAGAATATAATTAACCGTAATCATTTAATCATTCACTAAATAAATTACCAGTGTGAGTATAAAGTTTGATTCTGTTCACTTTAACGTTTGTGTCTCAAGGGAATATATGATTAACCATAATCATTTAATCGTTCAATAAATTACCAGAGTGAGTATGAAGATTGATTCTGTTCACTTTAACGTTTGTGTTTCAAGAGGATGTATGATTAACCTTAATCGTTTAATGATCAACAAATTACCAGAGTGAGTATGAAGTTTGATCTTGTTCACTTTAAAGTTTGTATTTCAAGAGATTGTATGATTAACCGTAATCATTTAATCGTTCAATAATTACTAGAGTGAGTATAAAGTTTAATTCTGTTCACTTTAACGTTTTTGTTTCAAGGGAATGTATGATTAACCATAACCATTTAATCGTTCAATAAATCACCAGTGTGAGTATGATGTTTGATTCTGGTTACTTTAATGTTTGTATTTCATGAGAATATATATGATAGACAATAATCATTTAATCGTTCAATAAATTACCAGTGTGAGTATGAAGTTTGATTCTGTTTACTTTAATGTTTGTATTACAAGAGAATATATGATAGAACATAATCATTTAATCGTTCAATAAATTACCAGCGTAAGTATAAAGTTTGATTCCGTTCACTTTAACGTTTGTGTTTCAGGAGAATGTATGATTAATTGAAGTCATTTAATTGTTCAATAAATTACCAGCGTGAGTATTAAGTTTGATTCTGTTCACTTAAACTTTGTGTTCAAGACATTGTATGATTAACCGTAATCATTTAATCGTTCAATAAATCACCAGTGTGAGTATGATGTTTGATTCTGTTCATTTTAACGTTTGTGTTCAAGAGAATGCCTGATTAACCGTAATTATTTAATTGTTCAATAATTACTAGAGTGAGTATGAAGTTTAATTCTATAACTTTAACGTTTGTGTTTCAAAAGAATGCATAATTAACCATAACCATTTAATCGTTTAATAAATTACCAGGGTGAATATGAAGTTTGATTCTGTTTACTTCAACGTTTATATTTCAAGAGAATGCATGATTAACCATAAGCATTTAATCGTTCAATAAATTACCAGGGTGAGTATTAAGTTTGATTCTGTTCACTTTAATGTTTGTGTTTCAAGAGAATATAATTAACCGTAATCATTTAATCATTCACTAAATAAAGTACCAAGGTGAGTATAAAGTTTGATTCTGTTCACTTTAACGTTTGTATTTCAAGGGAATATATGATTAACTATAATCATTTAATCGTTCAATAAATTACCAGAGTGAGTATGAAGATTGATTCTGTTCACTTTAACGTTTGTGTTTCAAGAGGATGTATGATTAACCTTAATCGTTTAATGATCAACAAATTACCAGAGTGAGTATGAAGTTTGATCTTGTTCACTTTAAAGTTTGTATTTCAAGAGATTGTGTGATTAACCGTAATCATTTAATCGTTCAATAATTACTAGAGTGAGTATGAAGTTTAATTCCGTTCACTTTAACGTTTTTGTTTCAAGGGAATGTATGATTAACCATAACCATTTAATCGTTTGATAAATTACCAGCGTGAGTATAAGGGTTGACCCCTGTTCACTTTAACGTTTATGTTCAAAAGAATATATAATTAACCGTAACCATTTAATCGATCAATAAATAAATTACCAGGGTAAGTATGAAGTTTGATTCTGCTCACTTTAACGTTTGTGTTTCAAGAGAATGTATGATTAACCGTAACCATTTAATCGTATAATAAATTACCAGAGTGAGTATGAAGTTTGATTCTGTTCACTTTAACATTTGTGTTTCAGGAGAATGTATGATTAATTGAAATCATTTAATTGTTCAATAAATTACCAGCGTGAGTATTAAGTTTGATTCTGCTCACTTAAACTTTGTGTTCAAGATATTGTATGATTAACCGTAATCATTTAATCGTTCAATAAATCACCAGTGTGAGTATGAAGTTTGATTCCGTTCACTTTAATGTTTGTGTTTCAAGAGAGTATAATTAACCGTAATCATTTAATTATTCACTAAATAAATTACCAGGGTGAGTATAAAGTTTGATTCTGTTCACTTTAACGTTTGTGTTGCAAAAAATTATATGATTAATCGTAATCATTTAATCGTTTAAAAAATTACCAGGGTGAGTATAAAGTTTGATTCTGTTCACTTTAACTTTTGTGTATCAAAATATTATATGATTAATAATACTCATTTAATCGTTTAAAAATTACCAGAGTGAGTATGAAGTTTGATTCTGTTCATTTTAACGTTTGTGTTCAAGAGAATGCCTGATTAACCGTAATTATTTAATTGTTCAATAATTACTAGAGTGAGTATGAAGTTTAATTTTGTTCACTTTAACGTTTGTGTTTCAAGAAAATGTGTGATTAACCATAACCATTTAATCGTTTAATAAATTACCAGGGTAAATATGAAGTTTGATTCTATTTACTTCGACGTTTATATTTCAATAGAATGTATGATTAACCATAATCATTTTAATCGTTCAATAAATTACCAGCGTGAGTATTAAGTTTGATTCTGTTTACTTTAACATTTATATTTCAAAGAGACTATATTATTGACCATAATAATTTAATCATTCAATAAATTACCAGAGTGAGTAGGAAGTTTGATTTTATTCGCTTTAACATTTATGCTTCATGAGAATGTATTATTAACTTTAATCATTTAATTATTCAATAAATTACCAGAGTGAGTATGAAGTTTTATTATGTTCACTTTAAACTTTGTATTTCAAAAGATTGTATTATTGACTGTAATAATTTAATCATTCAATAAATTACCAGTGTGAGTATGAATCTGATTCTGTTCAATTTGTGTCTCAAGGGAATATATGATTAACCGTAATCATTTAATCGTTCAATAAATTACCAGGGTGAGTATGAAGTTTGATTCTGTTCACTTTAACGTTTGTATTTCAAGGGAATATATGATTAACCATAATCATTTAATCGTTCAATAAATTACCAGAGTGAGTATGAAGGTTGATTCTGTTCACTTTAACGTTTGTGTTCCAAGAGAATGTATGATTAACCTTAATCGTTTAATGTTCGATAAATTACCAGAGTGAGTATGAAGTTTGATCTTATTCACTTTAAAGTTTGTATTTCAAAAGAATGTACGATTAACTGTAATAATTTAATCGTTCAATAAATTACCAGAGTGAGTATGAAATTTGATTCTGTTCACTTTAACGTTTGTATTTAAGAGTTGTATTGTTTAACCGTAATAATTTAATCGTTTGATAAATTACCAGCGTGAGTATAAGGGTTGACCCCTGTTCACTTTAACGTTTATGTTCAAAAGAATATATAATTAACCGTAACCATTTAATCGATCAATAAATAAATTACCAGGGTAAGTATGAAGTTTGATTCTGCTCACTTTAACGTTTGTGTTTCAAGAGAATGTATGATTAACCGTAACCATTTAATCGTTTAATAAATTACAAGAGTGAGTATGAAGTTTGATTCTGTTCATTTTAACATTTGTGTTCAAGAGAATGTCTGATTAACCGTAACCATACAATCGTTTAATAAATTACTAGCATGCTCAATAAATTCAGTTCTGTTCACTTTAACGCTTATGTTTCAAGAGAAAATATAAATTACCAGAGTATGAAGTTTAATCATTTATACCTTAATGTTTAGGTTTCATGTGAATATATATTAACCATAAGTATTTAATCATTTAATATGTAAATTACTAGAGTAAGTATGAAACTTGATTCAGTTTATTTAAAATTGGTATCAAAATTAAAGTAATTTATTTATATTCTGGGTTTAGTTTTTATATTATTATATGTCAAGATTTTTTTTCCTTATTTTTTTAAGGTTTTTTTACCTTAATTTTGTATAATAATATGTATTAAACAATAAATCCTTGTACATAAACAGAGCATTTCATAAACATACAAGTCAACATACTGCATAAATTGTATTCTTTAACTATGTTTAACTAGAACTTGCTCATGTGGGCAGCTTCGCCGCCCAGATTTGACTACCTAATATGTGATTATATATAACACAAAATGTAATAATGTGCCATTATAAATTAGTGTAATATAATGTTTCTTATTTAATTTAATTTTTTCGGAATAAGTGTACAAATTTTTAATGAAATAGAATCAAAACATAAGATTAGTTCGAATAAATTATAAAATTTATAAGTAAAGATAATTAGCCTTAGGCTTTTGTCAATTTTTTTAAATTTCTTTAGATCTTGCTTCACTTGATCTTTGTTTTAAAATCTGCTCTATATTTTCTTTTTTATATTGTAAGTTATGACCATTTTCACAATTTCAGGATAGTAGAAAAATTGCGATGTAAGCTTCTGATGTCTGGTGATGTCAATAATTTATTTAATGTTTGATTCAGTAACTGATTTGATCATTAAAAATGTTTCTTGCTATTCTAAAATCGGCTGTTCAAATTAATTTAATTTTACATTATTTATACCGTTTAAAGTATTTTTTTAAAAAAATAAAACTAAGAATAAACAATAAAGAAGTATATACAAAGTTTATCAGGTTGTAGGACTCCACTAATAAAAATAATCAAATTCTTTTTCGTTTTAGAAAAGTTAGCATTAGAGGTTGGAACCGGTTTTAATAATTCGAGTTTATCCCGTGAATTTAGGGATATTTTAGAAATTTATCCAATTAAATTTTAATAAATTCTAAAATATCACAAAATTCATGTGATAAACCCGAATTATTAAAACCGGTTCCAACCTCTAGTTAGCATAATAATAATAATAACCCAATTATATCTATCTTTAAGAAGTCACTATTATGCTAACTTCTCCAAAACAAAAAGAGATTGTGATTATTTTTAATAGTGGAGTCCTATAACCCTAATAAATATTTCTATATACTTCTTTTTTGGATATTCTTCCTGGGGGGGTTTTTTTTAAAAAAAATACTTTAAACAGTATAAATAAATTTATTTAAACAGCCAATTATACGAAAGTCTTCCTATGAATTCTAAAATTTACAAAAATACCTATAACAAAAATTTTCAATATTTATTGGTCTTGCATTGTTCAACATGTTTACAAACTCAACTTACATTTTAAGCATCAGTTTTTTTTTAACTGACGCTATAGTTATTTCAATTTCAATATGAATATAAAAAAAACAATATTTTTTTTGTATACTTTTTACTCATTCACATATATTTATTTTTTATGTTTCTTGATAATATAATTATAATTTGAATGCAGAAATGATTATTGCAATTCTTCATTATGGTCTTATGATCAATGATTATCAAATAAATTCAATTAACATGACATTGTTTACTTATTTTTTTTTTACACAAAAAAAATTTTCCAAAAAAATAAACATGTAATACAACACAGTCAGGTATATTACCAAAAATGGAAATCGATTCTAGATCGTTCTACTGAAATTTGATTGGCTGCTTTTCGCTAAATTCAGTTACATTTTGTGGCTTTTCGCAATAGGTAACTATGACAAATAATTTTAAGATATGAAGTTGAACGTTTAAAGTTTCAAATCAACATTGATCCCATCGGGATAATACTTTATTTCAATGTGTATAAAGACTCAAAAAAAATTATAAGTTTTACTATTCTTTTCTGCTCAAAATTTACAATTTATTTCGCTGATTAGTGTATAACTCAGCTTCCGAAGCAAAAAGAATCAATTGATCTGCATTTCTATATCATAAAAAGGCCGATCTACATTACCCTTTTCTGGGAATCCGCAAAAGTATTGTATCCACGTGACCTTTTATATGTAAATCAGCAAATGAAAATTATGAAATTTGTTTACACGGATCAGCTTGAAGAAGTTAAAAATTAAAAAAATGTAAAAATTTGAAAATGGCAGAATAAACCTGTCTTTGCGTATTAATAAATAGCCTAACTCATATGTGCACGTAACCATTACACCGCATTCTCATATATGGCAAAATGGGCCGAGCAAAATTATAACTCACTAACGGTCTTCAAAAATCAGCCAATTATAATAAATCCCACTAATCATATAATAAAAAATCTATATTAATAGAAAGAGTTTCATGATTTATGTTATTTGATCAACTAATTCTAATATTTCTGGGCGCAATTTAACTTTGTGGACCTAAAGCACCTCTAAATATATCCTGCAAGGACTTATTATCGAAAAACATTTTGTTAGGATCATACTTTGCGCGCACTTTCTCAAATTGTTTAATTGGTTCTTTTAAAGCTTTAGAAAGATAAGATATAATCTCTGGTTTAGTATCCCATTCTTTTCCCCAATGAGGCCTTTAGTAACCAAATTTATGTGATTTAGAATAATAAGTGAATCAACTCAAATAATTGCAAAAAATGTATATATACTTAATAACATCTTACTTTGCATTGTATTTATTCGTAAAATATCTTTGCCCTAATAATTGTATAAATTCTTCCCAGTCAGGATTACCGTAAGCTGAAATGAGATCCAATCGAAAATACAATGCTTTTGGATCATGATTGAAAGCAGTGGATAATAAAGCTTCAGTTGATTTTATTATTCTAAAATCTGCAATATATTTAATGGAAATTTGCCTTTTCCTGCAAAATCATATAACTACAAATATAATAATATCGTTAAAAAGAATAATAAATGTAAATTAACACAATTTAGTTATGGTAACAAAAACTCACTGTTTGAATTATGAAAGAAATTTCAGTGGCGACATTAGAAAAATCCGAATCAATTTTGAATCCAATTTCCCATAGACTAACCTTAAGGCTTTCTACAGAAGGTACGTAATGGAATGCATCAGGAGCCTGCAATACCGTACTGGTATTACCAGCAATGGCAACACGGGTATCCCATATCGAAGCAGTAATATTCGGAGTAAGTAAAGGATTTGATAGTAGGAAATTTATAAGCTGATACTGTTGATTAATGCTTATTATTTCGTTGTAACGTAATTGATCGAGTGCTTCTGGCGGTAAAGTCACAGGTTCATTAGTTCGTACCCAATTCGGGTAGATTAAAGATCACTGAACTCAGTGATATTTTCGTGGTAATCTCGTCACATGGTAAATCATTCGGCCTAAGTTAGGATTAGTGTTAGGGTAGGTGATAGTATAGTTTACCGATTTTGTTAGTAAACAAATGTATGTTTCACGTGATGTGATGATCACTTGGTTCAGTGATCTTTAAGTGCCCCCAATTCTTAACCCAAATTAGATCTTTGCTAGAGTCAGGATGAGATGGATCACCCTGATTAAATCCATTGAATGGCCAATAAAATATTTCAATTCCATCAGAAACTTCTAAAATATTTTTAATATTTTGTGGTTTAATCCATTCTTTTGCTGGATAAAGGGTGTCAGTCATACGAAGGTTGTACATCGGTTGTACACGGAAAGTCACCGAATAAATTATACCGAATAAACCTAAAAAATTATAAAGTTAACTAAAGGAAAGTAAATTTTGAAAGCATTAGCTTATAGTTACCTAGGTTGACTTTTGCAGCATTAAATTCTTGTTTGTATATTTCTTCACTAAATGTGACTACGTCACCAGAGGCGGTGACAATCTGCATCGAGACAAGCTGATCTGACATAATACCCGAACTAGTCTTTGCACCATGTGCACCTACCGCAATAACACCGGATACTCGAAATGAGTCATATACAGTCTCTGAGTCGAGAGTTAATGGTGGGTCATGTTTTCGGAGTACATCATCAAGCTTCGATAACGGCGTACCTATTTTTTTTAATTAAAATGACTCATTCATATGTAATATATGTAATATCACAAATGAATCTTTATGTTTTAAAGCATTTACCCGCTTCAGCAGTAACAGTCCAGTCATATTTTGGATCTTTTTGCACAGTGACCTGAGTTAATTCTGTAACTATCACCAGATAGTTCTGTGTGTAAGATAGTTTACTTACACTATGTCCTTGGGCAGCACATCGAATAGTTTTTCCCTTTTGCTTTGCCAATTTCACAATGTCTTTAAGGTCATCAAGTGAAGATGGTTTAAAAATGGCACTTGGAGTTACATGAACTTGTCCATTCCAATTGTCCCATGTTGTATCTCCCGTTGGTGTTGCAGAACGAATCACGAGGTTTTTATTTATGCTCACCGCGACGGACTTAAAAACTGTTGCAATTATTGGGATTAGTAAAAATCTTAAAATATATTTCATTGTGAGTGTTCGAATAAATGAAATTGAAATAAATGAAATTGAAAGATATATTTTCTTGAGATGTCTTATTTATTTCTAGAGATGTTTAACAATAACAATCGCAAGAACCATTAGAAATTGCCTCGCACAAGCGATTTTCATTATAATTATCGCCTTTTATAGAAAGTAATTTAGCAATTGCGTCATTACAGAAATCCATGCAGATGTTAAGATTTGAGTTACATAAAGTTTGTATTATCCAGTATATTTCGAATGTTTGTGACGATTCGCAAAAAAAAAAAACATAATTGAATTGACAAAATGAAAAGTTAATTGTTGTACTTAATCCTCTTTTTTTTTTTGAAAAAATCCGGGTTTATAAAATCGAACAAACATTTGGATAAATTATTCTGAGAAGAAAAGAGGCAGTATTTATGCACGGTATAATAATTATTTGTGTTAAATTTTGTTGGGTTTCCGTGTAACCTATACAGACTTTTGGAGGCTGCTATACGTACGTATGTACGTATTAAACGTATGTCAGCGTAAGTAAGCGTAATTAAAGTCCAAAAACTCCTGTCGTCCCCTTTTTTGGGGATTTCTATGCTTTATTGTCGTTTTTACGCTGATCCAATAAAAATTAATATAACAAACTTAATAAAATCGTGAGCATTCATACGGTTTATGTTATAGTTTTTGTAATAAATATATAATAAATAAATCATAGAGCTGGGGTTTCATTTATTATATATTTGTTACAAATTATGTACAAAACTATAACGTAACTGTATGAAAGCTCATGATTGTATTAAAATTCTTATATTAATTCATAATTTTTATACGAGCATAGTGGTATCATAAACAGAAGTTCATCTGATTGGCTGATAAATTCAATTTAATTTTACATTATTTATACAGTTTAGAGTACTTTTTTAAAAAATGAAAATAAGTGTTTACGTCAAGTTATACAAAAGATGCATTTCGATCACATGAAATTATTTTTTTGATATACATACATAAAAAATTATTCTTGTTATATCAGAAACGTAATTCGGAAATTTTTTGTCCGTCCTCACGCGTCATGGGAAGAGATTCATCTGATTGGTTGATTTTTGTAGATCTACCCGTGATTATCCAAATCGACCAACCAAATTCACATAATTTTTATAAATAGAAAAGAAAAAAACGAAGCCTATGAATCAATAAAAAAAAACAAACAAAGTTTTATATCGTATGACTAGAATATGTATGAAATAATGTATAATTATTGATGCGAAGCAGCCAATAACGGAAATTATTTGGAAAATAATTTCATTATCTGGCTGTGAAATTTAATATGTCAGCTTCTGGGCCCCAAAGGGGCCCTGAAATGACGCATATTAAATTCACTGCCAAAAAAACGAGTTATTGGCTGAGTAGCATTCAATAACGGTATTATCCGGTGTCTTACTATTATCGTACCAACAGAATGACTCGAGTTCTTTTGGTGATGATTGCGTCATCATCAAATAACGGAGTTATTTGATAATGA